GCTCCCTGCGTCTAGAAGGGCCCTGACTTTGCCTTTTTTTTCCTGTTTCTCTCTGTCTTGTCTTTTTTTGTCCAAAACATGTTCATCAGCCAGTCAGAACTTGTTCTCCTTTTTGCTTGGTTGTCAGTTTTTAAATTGCAGCATAATCAACAACCCACAGTGAAATGCACATATCTTAAGCGTCATTTTGATGATTCTTTAAATTCATTAAGGTATGTGTACATCTATGTAACCAGCACTTAAATCAAGATACAGAATGTTTCCATCTCCCCAAAAAGGTCTCTCATACCACCTGGCAGTTAGCATCTTCCACCCAGAGGTAGCCCCTGCTCTAACCTCTTGCCCCATGGATTCGTTTTGCCTGTTCTTGAACTTCATATAAAGTACAGAATGTACTCTCTTGTCTGGTTTCTTTCACTCAACGTAATGTTTTTAAGATCCAAGTTGTTACAGTATCATTAGTTCATGTCTTTGTATGACTATGCCAGAATTTGCTCCTCTGTTCATCTGTTGATGGAGATTTCTGTTTCTTGTTGGAGCCTTATGAATAAAGCTGTTATGATAGTTTTTATACAAGTTCTTGTACACATGTGTAGTCTCTCAGGGAGATTCCTTATATATGTATGTACTCATTTTTCTCAGATTCCGGTAGGAGTAGAGTTGCTGACTGACTCATAGGGTAGATGTAGGTTTAACTTTCTTAGAAGCTGCCAAATAGTTTTCCAAAGTAATTATGCGTCACACTCCTCACCACCAGCATGAGCCTTCCAATGGCTCCACCTCCCCACCCGCACTTAGTATTGTCAGTCTTTTCGGTTTTAGCCATTATGATGGGTGTGTAGTGGCCTCTTACTGTGGTGGTAATTTTCATTTCTCTGATAAGGAATGCTGAGCACATTTTCACATAATGGCCTTTTTGTGCAGAGTTTATCCAAGTCTTTTGTCGTTTATCTTTTATTGATATGCAGGAGTTCTTTATTCTGGATATGAGTCCTCTGTCAGATACATATTCTGTGAATATTTTCTTCTTTTGCCTTTTTACTTCCTTTTTTTTTCCATTTTTACTTCTTTTAATGGTGTCATTTGGTGAGTTGTTCTTTCTAAGTGAATGTCAGCTTTAAAAAAAGAACATCTTCTCTTTCCTGGTTATAAAAATGAACATGTTCATGGAGGAAAACTAACATAACAAAAATAACATGTTCATGGAGGAAAATAAAGAATAAAGAAAATTAAAAATTACCCATAATCCTACTACACAGAGATGACAACTATTATTACCATTTTGGTGTGTTTCCAGCCTGTCTCTTTTTAATGTAACTATTCATGTAACATTTATTAAGCATGTGGGGCTGAGGCCACAGGATATGGCAAGGCAAAATACCCATTCTTAAGGAGTTTGTAGTTTAGTGGGACAACAGCCAATGTGTTGACAAAGAACCCTGAGGTATGAAGAAAAGAAATGAAGGTGCTAAGGGGAGGGCATCATTGGGAGAGGGGCTGATTAGGGTGCTCATGGAGGGCTCTCAGAATAAGTGACATCTTACTGGACCTTTTCTTTAAAAAACTGAAGTATAGTCAGTTACAATGTATCAATTTCTGGGACATCAATACAATGTCCCAGTCATGCATATATATACATATATTTGTTTTCATGTAAGTTTTTTCCTTTTTCTTTTTTTTTTTCCCCTAGGGGCAGGAGGTAATTAGGTTTATTTATTTCTAGAGGAGGTACTGGCGATTGAACCCAGGACCTTGTGCATGCCAGGCATGCACTCTACTACTTGAACTATACCCTCCCGCCTTGGACCTATTTTTTTTTATTGCAATTTTATTATACAATTTAATGTCCTTTTTTTCTCCTTAACCTTCTATTGCAAGCATTTTCCCACATTAAGTATTCTTTGAAAATGGGATTTTTGGAACTGTATACTTTTTTCATCACACAGATGTACCATAGTTTATTTAACCAGTTTGCTCTCGTTGGGCCTTGTTTAGGAAGCTTCCAGGTTGTGTGTTGCTCTTTCTACAACCCATCTTGTTCTTCAGGGCAGGTTCACAGAGGTGAACTCAGGGGAAAGCACAAAGCAGCCATGGCTTCAGCTTCTCATGGGTCCTCAGCTCCATCATGGTTGCTCCTGCTCAGCCTGTTTACCCTGAAGCCCTTCTCTTTACGGGCTGTCACTCCTCTTTTCATCTCTGAGGGTCGCTGCCCGCCAGGCAGAGGGGTTTCAAGAGTTCTCTGCTGCTTTTGGGGCCCGGGCAGCTGGTGAGCTCTGACAGGCACCTGATCCACCCTTGGAGGCCTCCTAGGCCTGTGCATGGGGAGCAGGTGGGGCTGGCTGTCCCGAGGCTGCCTCTACCCCCATCCTCCAGCAGATGCCATCTGATTGTCCCTGACCTGGGCAGCAGTGCCCCACGCAGGCACCCCTGGGTGTGATGATGACTCAGCAGCCAGAGAGTGACTCAGGCTTCATCGTATCACAAAGCTTGACAGCAGAGATAAGTCCCATCCCCGACCCCTGCGTTGCATCTGCAGTGCCAGTACAAGGCTGGTTCACCAGCTCAGCAGAGAGGGTGTAAATGTGTCTGAGAAGCCAGAGGCCTGCCAGAGCGTTTCTACGTGTCCCTGCTCCTGGATGAACCTGGCATCTGCCCATGGTAGGATTAGCTGTTCTGGTGGCTTCTAAAGGGACACCTTTTCCCATGGGAGTGGCAAAGGGCTCCTCATCTTCTGGGACTTTAGGCAAGTTACTCAACAGCCTCAGCTTCTTTCCCGTAAGTGGGAGTGATAACTCTTGCTTCATGGGGTTCAGTCCTGTTCCCAGCACATGTCCAGTGAGAAGACTCCCCAGTAGTAGGCACCTGGGATACAGAGGTGAAGCAGAGAGCAGGGCTGGGCCAGACAGTGCCCAGGGACAGACTGCAGGTGAAGAAGGCGGTCACAGGAGGACTGCGGGTTATGCTAAGGGCTCCACTAGGGTGAACGGGTGCTGAGGCAGAGATGGGCAGGAAGGCCTCTGTGTGTCCCAGAGGGAGGGACCTCTCCATCAGTGTCTTGGGCCCTCTCCTGCTGCTCATCTTCCTGACTCTGGGAACGAACGTCACTCAGCCCCTTCTGCCCCTCAGAGGTACCGTGTCTGTGAGATCCCACAGCCGCAGAAGTTCGAGGTGGATGAGGTCTCAGGGAGCCATCTCATCCAGCCCCTCAACCCTTGCAGTGCAACCCTTTCCCCCTGCTCCCTGCTTTAAAATCCTTCCAAAAAATATCGTGGAGTGCCCTGTGCCAGGTGCCAAGGACACGGTGGGAATAAGACAGCCTAGGTTTTGACCTCAGGACACATACTTTCTAGTGGGGCTCCATGGGCAGTGAGCAAGAAAAATCTGTGAAGATGATTTCTCAAAGTTTTAAGCATATGAGGAAAATGAAACAGGGTCATAAGGGAAGTGCTCTGGATGTGGCAGGGAGTAGCTAGTGGGGTACTCCAGGGAAACTTCACTGGCCGGGGAGCCATCAGGTACTGGTTACCAGCAAGAGGGTAGGACCATGTGAAGATCCTAGAGGGAGTTTGGATTTTATTCCAAATACAGTGGGAAGTCCCTGGAGGCTGACTGGATAAAACCTTTATAAATGTTTCTCTATAACAGGACTCAAAACTGACTCAGATACTGCTAGCGAGAGGGTGGCTGTGCCTGGAAAAGGAGGAGGAATGTCTTTGCCAGCCTTACCTCCCACCTCCCTGTACCTGTTCCCTCACGCTGGAAGAGATGTCCTAGTTGGGTTTGAGGCTGGGGAAGAGCCCTTCCCTCCTCGCTTGTTGCTAGAGATGCAGGGGAAGTGGGTGGGCTGTGACTCACTCCTGATTGGACACTCAGGACTGGTCGGCCATGTTATGCAAATGAGATGTGAAGCCCTTTCTCTGCTTGGAGTAGGAACCTAAGGCGGGAAGCACAGTCTGGACCCACAGGAAATCAGCTTCCCGCATTGCGTGCTCCAGGCCTCACATGAGAGAATGGTGTGATCTCGCCACACTGCTTGAGCAGTGGGTTCTTAGATCCATAGTCAGGGGGTGTCTCCCTCTGGCCTTTCATCCCCTAGAATCCTAGTAACAGTGATGTGGGACTGATGCTGAAACACTCTAACCTCTTAATAAATTATGCTGTATCCATAAAATAGTGGACTGCATAGCTGTTAAATGATGCCATGATTGTAGGTTTATTGGCATGGAGAGATGTTCATGTTAAGGAAATGAGAAAAGCTGGCTCACAAAACATTAAGGAGAGTATCAAATTTTTGTTAAATATTTGTATGTAGTCATATTTAAAAATTGTGGGTTGAAAATCAAATGTTAAATGTCTGGGTGGTGGGATTAATATGGCTTATATTTTGGCTTCGAATATTTTTAACAACTTTACAGAGGTATAATTGACATATAATGACTGTACATATTTAAAGGATATAATTTGATAAGTTTTGACATGTGTATATACCAATGAAACCATATTATTTTCTTAATTGTTCTAAAATGGTGATATATTGTGGGTTTTATATTTTTAAGGTTTTTTTTTTGCTTTCTATTTTTTAAGTTTATTTTTTAAAGTGGCAGTTTATTTATTTTGGGGGGAGTAATTAGGCTTATTTATTCCTTTATTTTAAATGGAGGTACTGAGGACTTCATGTATGCTAAGCATGCGTTTTGCCACTGAGCTATACCCTCCCCTCTTTTTTTGCTTTAAAAAAAGACGAGTATATCAGCCATTGAAGTGGCTGAGCCAAGAGGGACAGGGATCAGTGCCTACTTCCAGAAGGCTAGGCAGTGGCAGGGAGGCAGGCCTTTCTGGAACCTTGAAAGGGAGGGCTGGAGAACCCAGTGGACTTTGGATCCCCTGTCCCTGGGCCACCTTCTCTCAGGCCTGGGCCCTTCCCTGGGACTGAATGGGTAGAAGAGGGATGGGAGGAGGCCCAGGGCCAAGGCATCTAGACCCCCCTTACTCTTCCCCAGGAGGCCTCTGCAACCTGTGCTCAGACAGGGCCAACAAGGAGCACATCCTGCAGACAGGGGGCATCCCCCTCATCATCAACTGCCTGTCCAGCCCCAATGAGGAGACTGTGCTGTCCGCTGTCACTACGATCATGTACCTGAGCTCACCAGGCTCCGGCTCCCACCCCGAGCTGACGGCCGTGCCCGTGGTCCAGTGCATGCTGCGCTTCTCCCTCTCAGCCAACGCAAGGCTCCGAAACCTGGCCCAGATCTTCCTGGAAGACTTCTGTTCCCCAAGCCAGGTGGCTGAAGCCCGCAGCTGGGGGGCTCACTCTGCTCTGGGTATCCCACTGCCAAGGACCGAGGCCCCACAGGAGCCCTGACCCAGGGAGAGCCCAGGCCACGGCACCCTCCCTGCTGGAGACCAGACTGAAATCCTGGTAGGGGCGAAGGAGGCAGGAACAGTTCTCACTGAGCACCTTCTCCCCAGATGGTGCTTTTTTAGCCATTTTAAAGGTGAGTTTTCTCAGCATGACAGATATTTACACTATGATGAAAGGCATCAGAAGTTGAGTGGGCAACACGTGGAGAAGGAAATTGAAGGTGGTGCCATTTTCACAGGTGGCCACTCTCCACCAGCTGGAGGTGCAGGTCCTGCTTCCCGGGCCACCCTGCCACCAGGCTTTCAACCTTGTGTGAGAAGCAACCGGGTCCCTAAAACCAAAGGCTTTGTAAAAACTGTTTCTCCTAAGGAACAGCTGGGCCTGGGGCTTAGGAGAACTGCCTGAGCTTGAGGACATAGACATTAACCACACCCTTAACTGAAGTGTGTGGAGCAATTTTAAGAACTAGAAATGAAAAACTTCGTGGTTAAAAGTATTTTGGGGCTTGCGGAATGTGTGCCTACTCCAGGGCTGTGGAGGCTGGGCTTTGGGCATGGTGAATGCTGGCCTGGAGAACTCTGTGGCCCAGGAGTCCTAACTGTTTATCCACACTGGCCTCTCATCTAGACACCATGTTAGGACTTCAAAGAGGAAGATGTGGTCTCTGCTCTTGAATGTTGTAGCTCAGTGACTTAACATGGCCATCAGGCCTTAAGACTGAGGCCATGAGAGTGACGACACATCAGAACACAGGCCCAAACCCTTGGAGCTGTGTCTTCCTTCACCACCCCGTGGCCCCTGCCTGGAAGCCCTGGCACGTCTTCTCTGCCATCAGGATTAGTGAAGGGAATCCCTGTCCCTGGAAGTGCGCTCAGGCTCAGAGGAGCTTCAGGAAGCAAGTAAGGGATGTTCAAGGCAGTCAGAGGACCAGATACTGACATGAAGCCTATGGCTCAGAGTCCAGGGCATGCTGGTCAGCACAGGGGAAGGGGTGTGGGCCCCCGTGGAAAGTTGGGATTCAGAAGCAGTGAAAGGTCCTGGCCTCCCTTTGGCATTCCCTTAAAGTTGACCTTTTACGTGGCCAAGGAAAGGCATATTCGAGAGGAATGGTATCCAGGTGGACATGGAGGTGTGCAGATTATGGGACTAATAAGACTAAGGAGATGTGAAAGGAAGAGGGAAAGGCCTCCTCATCAGCCTGTATTCCAGTTGTCCCCATGGGGCTCCTATCCCTTTACTTTCCCAAATAAACAGCCTGAAGAGAGCAGTGAGCCAAAGCATTTTATTAAAAAGGTTCCTAATTTCCCCACCATGCTTCCATGCCAGCTCCCTTGGGAGGTTCCAGGTGGCTGGCACGGTGCTGGCAGGGGTCACTGCCACGATGCTGCCTGTCACTCAGTTCTGCCACAGTTCCTGCTGGCCTGCCTTCCCTTCCTTAAGCTACTGTCTGCTGCCAGGGTCCTCAGCTTACTCCTGTGGCAGCCTCAGGCCGGTTCAGTCGCACTGCATGGCTCCCCTCTTGCTGTCTATAATCTCCTTCCAGTTGTCACTCCAGGAGAACAGCCGTCTCCTTGTTGGGGGCAAGACCAGGTGCTGGTTGTGGCAGCAGGTGAACAAGATGTGCTCCCAGCGTGGGGTCTCCTCTTGGCCTGGGACAGGACATGGGAGGAAGGCAGGAAACATACAGTCTGTGATCGGTTATTTGTGCTCCCTCTCCCTAATCCCAGCCAGCCAGATGCCTGGAGGTTGCTAAGGAAGATGGCTCCCACCTTGAATGGTGTCATTGTCATCAATGAGCAGGTCCCCCAAGACCACCGTCTTGTCTCTCGTCAAGATAATGCGCTCCACAAACTGGGGCCCCAGGTGCTTCTCCACCCAGCGGTACTGTGTAGTGGGCACAGGTCTGTCAGTTGGGCCTGATGGGCCCCTGAATTCAGGGCCAGTCAGCAAGTAGGTGTGAGGGAGAGTCTACAGCCCTTGAGAGATATTGCCCCCCCCACCCCGTGTTTCTGCTGGTTTATTTTACAAATCAGGCTTTAGGAAGTGCCGAGGCAACCGCACCTTCTCGCCCACACAGTGGTCATATTTCATCAGAGGACTGGTGCAGATGAAGACTTGGGTGCTGCAGGGAAGATGCAAAAGTTGGACAGGGTGGTGACAGCCCTTGCTCCCCACCACCCCTCCCTACCCACCCTTCCTCACTCCTGCATGTCATTCATCTCCCGCATGGCTTCCAAGGCTCCAGGGATGGGCTCCAAGTCTAGGAAAAAGCCTGGGGCTTCATACACACTGGCCACTTTGTCCTGAAAGATACAGTGTTCCTGTCCTGGCTCTGCTCCCGGCAGATCTCT